ACCCACAATAAAGTTTAATTTATGAATTAGGCACAGTGAGAGAATAATAAAATAGAATAATTATAACAATAGGGGCACCTATTATATATATTATAACATTATATATATATATATTTTAACAGTAGGGGCACTTGGGTGGCTCAGTCGGCTAAGCCTCTGCCTTTGGCTCAGGTCATGATCTCAGGGTCCTGGGATCGAGCCCCATGTCGGGCTCCCTGCTTGGGAGGGACTCTGCTTCTCTCTCTCCCTCTGCTCCTCCCCCCTGCTCCTTCTTCCTCTCTCTCTCTCAAATAAATAAATAAAATCTTTAAAAAAAAAACACCAATATACTGTAATAAAGCTTATGTGAATGCGGTCTCTCTCAAAATATCTGTACTATACTCACTCTTCTTGTGATGGTGTGAGATAATAAATGCCTACATGATGAGATGAAGTGAGGTGAATGTTTCTGCTGTTGTGACATTGCATTAGGCTGCTTTTGACCTTAAATTCGTCAGAAGGAGGATCATCTGTTTCCAGTCCAGGGTTGACTGTGGGGTAATTAAACCTGCAGAAAGCAAAGCTGCAGATGAAGGGCATTACTGTATCATAGCACTTATTATGCTTTTACTAACCACCCATTCTGTACCAGGAAGAATCCTAGCAATTTTCCTGTTATTCCATTTAATCATCAAAATAATCCTAGGAGGTAGGTATAGCTATTTTCATTGTTGTAAGTAGAAAATAGAAAAAGGAAATGATTTAAAATTTTAATATTAAAAACTAGTATCTAAGGAAAAAATACATTTAACTAGAGGAGGGTGATAACCCTGGGATTAACTGTATCATATTTACAACTATTATCTCACATCCTTGCAGCTACCACTATGAAATGACTATTTTTTTCCATTTTATAAGTTTTCTGATAATCAGCACATTTCAGAGTCTAATCTGAAGTAGGTAATAGGGGACCAGGAATCATGTGGAAGAGATACAGTTTGATACAATTCCCGTATCAGTTACAAAGCAATGGTTTCAGTCTAGGGCAATATGGTTAAGGGATAGAATAGTCTATAGAAGGTGGCCAGTGGGAAAGTAATAAGAAAAGTCAGTCATAATCCATTGGTTGAATGTACCAGATGTTCTGAAATCATATGTTTGTAATCTAGGGAATGTCTGGATTTGATGGATGTAAAAATTACAAATGCTCTGTCATTCTGTACTCGAAAATTAGCTATAAATTTCTTGGTTCGCAAGGAAATTGTTTATAAATAAATGGTCTCATTTGATGAAGAAATAAATCCCTTTCAATCTCAGGGATTTTCAGACAGTGTATTACTACATATGAAACCAGAATCTAAACTATTTTGGAAGCAAAAACAAGTTAATGTTAAATATTTAATGTCATATCCTTGTTCAGAGCTGTAACAGGTTACCAGTTCAGTGTGAAGCAGAGATCCACATGACATGATGTACATTTATTACCAATCCGGATATTGTCTGAAGTGAGCTAAGCCTTCTCTTATTAGATTTTAAGGAAGTTCTGCTTAAGATAGATCCTAAGCGATAAAGTGAGAAAAATTCTTAAGAAAACAGGGTTATAAATATCATAGATTTGGTCATTCAAATAATTCATATTCTTTGCTAGATATAATTTTTTTAGAGAATTAATTTACCAACAGAACCCTATTACTTGTTAGGCATTAGGCTAGGTGCTGGATATACAGTATTACGTATTGTAGTGGTGTGTCTCCTTTGTCTGCAAACTGACAGTTTTTCAGTCCTTCCTGGTTTTTTAGGACCTTGACACTTTTGAAAATACCTGGTCAACTATTTTGTAGAACATCCTCGGTTTGGGTTTGACTCATGTTTTCTCAAGGTTATAATGAGGTTGAGGATTTGGGGAAGCATACCACATAAGTGATGTGCCCTTTTCACTGCATGGTATCAGCATGCACAGGACATTGATAGGTCTCACTACTGGTGATGTTAACTTGATCACTTGTTTTATGTGATGTCTGCCGGGCTATTCCACTTGTAAGGTATTGTTTTTCCTTTTGTAATTAAATATTTAGGGGAATCCGTGATGTTTTCAATGAAGAAATTATCCAGAATATTTTTTTTCTTGAAAATAGTCTTACTGACGGTACAGCCACTGTGTAGTCAAAGCCATGGTATTAGAGGCCTAGAAATGTGATTCTATTTATATGAAGAGCAACCAAGTATAAGGTCCATGTAGGTATCCTATAAATGAATGTTCTGTTAAAGTCTTCAAGCTCACATTTTCCAAGAGGAAAGAAACTATAAAAGAGACAAATGAAGCATACCTGTTGATGATTGGGACATACATATAGTGGGTAACATTGAGGGTCTCTCAATTCCTTATTACCACACCACTGGAATTCAGGCAATCACTAATCCTAAAGCTGCGACCACAGATACTCCCCGATTTGCATTAGTAATAGGTATGAAAGGCATTTTTTTCTGGGGCTCCCCTAAAAGGGATGAACACCCCATTTTAATCAGAATTTACTTCCCAGCTGATCTTCAAGAATGACATAATTGAGGAGTAAATTTACATGGAAAATATTTCTTTGGAAAATCCTGTGACGTGACACTGGTCTTAGAGGTAGGTATAAAGATAGTAGATTTATTAGTGATGAACAGTTATACTATAGAAATACTCAAAGAAAAAAGAAATATTCAAAGAACAGATATGAGTCTGTCTGCCTGTTTTTGCAGAACAAACTAGCCTTGCAAAGCCAAAGTATATCAACACTTTCCCATGATAGATAACACTCAGGTGACAGAGAAACAGAAGAGCTCCTTACAAAACTCTGGATCATAAATCTGGCTAATATTACCAAATTCAATGATACCAAATATCCTATTTGAGAAAAGTTTTGAAAGCCTAGTGAAAATATTAACAGTAGTGATCCCCTGGGGAAATTTTTGGAGTCTTTTGCTTTTTCATTTATAGTTCTGTACTATTGGATTTTATTTATTTATTGACTATGATCAGGTACTAATTTAAATTGAAAATAAATTAGACAAGAAATTTTTTTAAATCCTATTTTTAGTAAATACTAAAGCCTTGCTATAGCTTTGCTATAAGTGAAATGAAGGTCAGAATACAATAAATTAATCTCAATAGAAGTTAGTTACCAAAGTATCGGAAGGACATTGGTAAAGGGTAATTGTTCTACGACAAAAGCTTGAGAGGGATTCTAAGTTTATGTGGGACTCAGTGGATGCCAGAGTATGTGGTTGGTTAGATGTTTAGCTACTACTTGGATTTTTTTCCATGTAGTTTATAGTTGAGCAAAGCAAAGGTTGAGAAGACCTTTTTTTGTTCATTTAGATTTTGCATTTTTTAGAATCCTGCCCCAAATTTTAAAATTAGAGAAAGGGGTCCAAGCTAAAATTATTTTTGTTTTGTGAAAAGTAATAACGCATCGAAAGGAATGGTATCTCACTAAACATTTGCCAAGTTGTTTTGTTTTGTTTTTACATAATTATTTGCTATAAACCTGAGTACCTATTTATGAAAAAGCCAGAGGGGAAGAAAATGCCTTAAAAAATATTATAGATTCGATAAAAGGGGGTCAGGCCTCACGTAAGAGCAAAAATTGCAATTCCTCTTCAGAGGATTACCTTCCCCCCAACACCTGGGCGACTCTCCCCCTTTCCACTCATTCAGAAGACTGAAGGCCTGTATTCCCTCCTGAACTCTGAGCAGTTTAGTATGTGTAACTCCACCAGTAACACAGAATCCTGGCAAATTAAATGGTAGGTAAACATGGGAACAGGATACAGAATAAGTAAACATGAACAGGGTACAGCTTTCTTGAAAAAAAAAATTAAGCCAATATTTAACAAATGTTACCCCTGATGAGACACATTCACCAGTTGGCTTTTCAGACATTTTTCTGTTTAAGAAAATAGTTTACATTAAGTGTCTCAATAGTAAACAGGGTCAGCTTTGAAAAGACACTTTTGTTGTTAATGTTGGAGGAACACGGTTGTATAAATTTATTGAACAGTTAAGTACTAGGTAAAACAGGGCTTGCATCTGATTTCTTAGAGCCCTTTTGTCTTCTTGCCATTAAGCTTATTCTGGGTTCCAAACAGGGCTTGCCCTGCAGATAATGATGCGTGTGGTGGTAATGAAAAAAAAAAAAAAGTAATTCTAGGAATGCCTAGCGGAAAACTTTTAAATAATTCTTGTGCAACCCTTGTGAGTTTCAGCTTTGAAAAGTCTTTTACACCAGGTGTTTCTCATTTCCACTGCCGTCCCACCGTGGAGTCGCCCCACCAAGATTCCACCTGTCTCCCCTTTCCCCGAAGGCGTAGTAGGCAAGCATTCCTCAGAGAGTGGATTCCTCAACTGGCCTCGCCCGGCTCCACGTGACCTCCCCTAACACCTGTGTACGGCCTTCCGCTCACAGCGCCCCCATCCCCTCAGCCAGGTACCGACCCAGCCCAGCTCCCCCCTCCCCCAGGAGGTCACGATCCCGGGGCGAGCCTTGCTCGGGCCGGCGGGGGAGGGGCCGAGCTTCGGCCACAGCAGCTTCTCGAGCCCATGCAGCCTGATTATCACATGACTCGACGGCGGCGGTAGCCGTGGCAGCAGCCGCGCCGGCTCTGCCGGCTCGCCGGGTGGGCTCAGTTCCGCTCACGCAGGAGTCGAGCGCAGAGGGCGGGGAAGGGACCTGCTGCCGCTGCGGTTGCCCAGCCGCTCCCGGAGCGCGCGGCGTCTCTCCGGGCCCGGCCGGCCCGCTCCATGCCGCTCCGTTGCGGAAGTGTAGCGGGGGGAGGCGGCGGCGGCGGCGGCACGGAGCGCGGGAGGCCGGGGCCCGGCCCCCTGCAGCACTAGGCTCCGGGAGCCGCGCGGCGCGCCCCAGCGACCCGGCTGTCCGTGCGCCCGGCGCCTGCCGCAGCCTGCATGCCCCGCGCTGCGCCTCGTCGGGCCCCCGCCGCCGCCTCCTGCTCGCACCGCTGCTGCCGGGCGCCGGAGTAATATGCTCACTCGAGTGAAATCTGCCGTGGCCAATTTCATGGGCGGCATCATGGCTGGCAGCTCAGGCTCCGAGCACAGCGGCGGCGGCTGTGGAGGCTCGGACCTACCCCTGCGCTTCCCCTACGGGCGGCCGGAGTTCCTGGGGCTGTCTCAGGACGAGGTGGAGTGCAGCGCCGACCACATCGCCCGCCCCATCCTCATCCTCAAGGAGACCCGGCGGCTGCCCTGGGCCACTGGCTACGCAGAGTGAGTGTAGCGACACCGGCGGCTCCCTTGCTCTCCTCGCGGCCCTTCCCCGCACGGTTCCAGCCCTCCTCTCCTTCCTCGGCCCCAGGGCCCTCCAGGGGCTGCCGGCGTCCAGGCCTCGGCGGGGACCTCTTAGACTGGCCGTTCCTCTCTTTTCCCACTCCCCCTTCCCCCATCCCCAAGGACGCAGCGTCTCCCGCCTGGGTTTGGGTGGTAGATGGTGGGTGGCAGCACTGACCGTGGGAAAGCTAAGGTTGGACGGGTCCATGAGTCCGGGGGTTGTGACACTTGGAAGAAAGTGCGTAGAACAGCTCTGCTGAAGTTTGAAGCACAGCAGGCAAATCTGGTATCAGCGCCCATCCTCCCAAAAATCTTTGCGCCTCCGCATGAAGTTTGTGGGGTAGAGTTGGGAGGAGCTGTCGCTGCGCTTGTTGGGGGGGGGGCGCGTTCGTGTGCGAGGTTGCACATTTCAAAAGGGCTCAGTTTCTCTGACTTAGCCTAAGACCTCTCTCCCTTCTCCCCTAGGTAGTAAAACCCTGCGCGTTCGGTAAATGCCAGTACTAGTTCCCCCAATCCACGGGGAGGGGAACTTACTTCGGGTGTCTAACGATAGCATTTTGGTAATCAGCTTTGGCGATTAAGCGAACGTTTGAATGATTTACTATTTCAAGAACTGATTCAGTTAGGTTGACGACCTGGAGTGGACCTGGGAAAGGAGGGAGGATTTTAATGGCCTTACCCCCACCCCGACCCCCAGCTACGCCTCCATTGACTATTAATGACCATCTTATGAATGGTAGGATAAGTAATGTTTTTCTCCCTACTCAGCGTTATGAAACTGGGAAATTCGGCGGGTGTAATTTAGGAGATCAGAGATCCGGGCTTAACAATGACCCGATGGGTGCACAAGTGCACGCAAAACCCGGGTGCCTAGCACACCTGGCCCTTTTCCTTTAACTCCATCCGCTCTATAATCTTGGCCCTCCCCGATCTGCGAACAGCGTCGCTCGCTGATTGGTTCGCCCGGGAACCAATCAGCTCTCCCGATGCCTGGGCGCTTTGATGCTGACCCTTTTCTGGTGGCCCGGATACCCCCTGGCAGGCATGGTTCCCGAAGCTCCGGGTTCCGGTGCGAGAGACGGACGGCATGGAAGACGCCCTAACTAGAATCTCCCTTTTCACCATATAACCTTTTCTCCATGGGTTTTAATAGAAAACGTGAATAGGGATAGGCGACGGGAGTGTGAAAAATGGTGAGAAGACTAGTGAGAACGCAGGTTGCTAAAAACAATAAAAATTAACACATAATAAAGGACAAGTATGGTAGAGAACATCGTGTGGGGGGAGGTACAAGATAGCGTTGTAACTTCCAGGAGAAAGCCAAAGCAAAAATAAACACCTGTCCTGTCCAAACATAGCAAACCACCGGTTCTTTAATGAGATTAAAAAAAAAAAATGTTTAAAAGGCCATTTAGACGCGTTGCGAGCAAAACAGCTTTAAAGCATACTCCACTAAGTCCTACAATTGTGTGGGTGGGGGCCCTTGTGCCTGCCAAAAAACCCGAACTACCTGGCTAGTTGTCACTCCAGTGGGTTTCCCAGGGCAGGGGCACCTGTCTGAGGGACAGAATGACAAGCAGACAAATGGTGAGAAAGTTCTGAGAAGTAGGAAGGAAGATATTAAAACACATGTGAAAGCTACTTGGTCGCAATAAAAGGAGGGCCCAAATAGGAAGAAAAGGAAAGGGGAATAAAACAACCGGTTTCAGAATGTTTGGGTCCTATGGCAGGCACATGATGTGCCAAGGACTGTAAAGAACATAAGGGAATCTGAAATGAGACATGTAGCTGGGGTAGATGGAACTGAGGGGCTCTGCCTCCTCCTAGGTGGGCCTCCATTTCCTTATTTCTAAGAAGTTCACCTTTTCCTAGACCCTGAAGTGAGAAATGTTCAAATTGAAGGTTAGAAAGACTGCTGTTTAATTTTAAAAATCGGTTATAAAAGTAGTACATGATGTGGGAAACGGGGGCAAAACAAAAAATTAAATTTCCTTGCTGCTTATTGCCCACTGACAAGTCCTTGAAATAGGCAGAGTGACCTTCCTCTAGAAACTCAACTGCCCCGATGTTGACACTTTGCTAAGAGCAAGAGGTAATCTTAGGCCAACCCCCCAGGATCCCATAAATCTACTTTAACATAGAAAAATTCCTTTGGAAATTCCTTTATCTCTATTCCCCAAGATACATGTTAGCAATCATCCCGCAAGCATATGGCCCACAGATACACATCTGAAGGGTCTCACGACTAAGGTTTTATTAGACAGTAATAAATGACCTTTATCTAACAATAGCTGGCCCCCTCCTGGAAACTTGTTTCCGAAATTCCCTAGAGATTTACACTATCCCTAACCCCCTCCCAACTTGAAAGTACATAATCGCCAACCCTCACAACCCCAATACAACCCTTTCTGCCCATGGGTCCTGTCCCTGTGCTTTAATAAAACCACCTCTTTGCACTGAGGATGTTTCAAAAATTCTTTATTGGCCATCAGCTCTGGACCCCAGTATTGCCTACATCAGTACATACTTGTGAATTCAAGCAAAGACCTGTACATATACAAATGTAGGAACACCCCCGCCCCCCCCACACACATATTCCCTAGGGCTTATGACCGTAATTTAGTGTTTCAGTGGTGTGTGTGCCTTTCTAGACTTACTTGGATGCACTCATAAATACGTATCATGTGCTTTTTTTCTTTCCAAAAATAGACTCCTACTAAGTATGTTATTCTATAGCATTTTCAGAAAAACACTGTCATGGACTTCATTCCAAGTCAATACATAATTCTAATATGTGTATTGAAATATATTCTTTTAAAATATATGCATAGTACTAGTAATAGCTAACAAAGTTGGTGCTTACTGTTTAGTGTTTTCACTCTATCCAGATTTGTATCATATCATTTGATTCTCAAAACAATCATAAAGTAGACAGTAACATTTGCATTTTCTATAAAATAGAAATACATATATACATATATATAAGAGGATACAGAGGCACTGAATGGTTATGCAACTTTCCCAGAGTCCTACCACCTTAGCAGAGCCTGTATTTGAACCCAAGCATGATTCCAGAGCCCACACCACCAAACTGCTTTCTTACAGTGTAGTAAACTATGGTGCATTGATCTGTACCCAGGGTTAACCACCAATGTTATCTTGCCACAACCCTCTGTCAGAAGTACTGTACCACTTCCTCAGACCTTGAACTATACTTACTCTTCCTGCAAAAACACATCCTGAATGGTCAAAATGGCTGAAATAGGGAAGCGGAGAGAAAGACTGTAGGGCTAGGATCAGAGGCTGCTATGAGTAATACTGCCCTTTGCTACAGTATCTCCTGGAAGGAGGAATTCCCTTTGTTTTAGAAGGTACCTGAGAGGGATAGAATTGGTAGGAAGATTGCTCAGAGAATGGGGATGAGGGGGATGCTAGTGAGTCAAGACCTGAATCAGAAGTGGTTTGCTTACCTTTCCAGAAAGGGAGCTACTTTCTATGCTTTCCCCAGAGGAAGAATTGGCATCACTTGGTGAATGAGTTAGAGGAGAGTTGAACTCTAGTGCTGACCTTTTGGATGGCAGAAAAATTAAGGAGAGATGTTCTATTTTTTAGCCACTTATTGTTAATCCTTTTCAAGAAGAGATTTTTTTAATAGGTTGTAGACCTAGGGAATTAGCGTAAGCAAGCCTCACAAGACTCGAGGATCTAGAAACAGAAGACCCTCACTTATTAATTCAGTTTATTGGCATTGTGCTGAGTGGAATTTCCTGGCTCCTCAAAAAGCTTTCTATTGTGGCTGAAGAGTTCAAGGGCTATATGCTAGGTTGTAAGGCTCTGTAAAGCATTACAGTTATAGATAACATCTACAGAGCTAAAATCTTAACAAACCTGCATTAGCAAGTTTTATTTTTTAGTTTGGTTTTGAAATTAAGGATTGAGACTGTTAGAACTGCTTGGAGAGAGGCCATGGAAAACAACAGTCTGACCCAGAGACCCCACAGGGCAGCTACTTCCTTTCTCCAACAGCTTTACCTCCCAAGTGGTCCCCATGCTTCTAGGACCTAGAACTTGGTTCAGTTTTTAATGGGTTGGGAGCCTATTTGACTTCCTCTTGCCCAGTCTGTCCAACCTTTCTCTCATCAGTGGTCAGCTGGACTTAGAGATACAAGTGGATATGGGGTTTGTTCCCGAAACTCTGGCAGTGAAAAATACCAGAGAACATCTGCTAGTCTGTATGAAAGCATCATATTCACGTTTTGGTCAATGATCAATTTTTACTTGTGCAGAAATAATTACAGCAGAATTTTAGTTAGGTTATAGCTATTCTATGCGATTCTTTTTTTTTCTAGTACTTTTCTTATAAAAGTGACCCAGACATGGGTACAAAAACAAACAACAAGCACCCAAAAAGCTACTTTTAAGTTCTTTGTGTCTCACAAAGTTCAAAATTGTGATGAAATAACCTTGTTTAAATCCAGCAAATAGCCCACAAGTATTTAGATTTGTTTTGGAATCTGTAGGCTGTTCTGTCTCCCCAGCTATTGGCATTAATTAACAATTACCAATAAATCACATTGGTTGGCTGTGCAGTTGTGATGACAGGGCAACCACTATTTCTCTCTTGACCCAAAACTCAGAAATCCGCTGGCTTTTCTTTTTTCCTTCTGACCTCTAGCACACCCACCCACCCCTCTTACACCTCTTAGCAGAGCTCCTTCCTGGGAACTTCCTGTTTAACTTTGGCAACGGAAAAATCTTGAGGTGCTCCACTTCTTGCATAAAGATAAAAAGAAATGGACTGTGGAAGGGGGTGTCTCATTTCACCAAACTCTCCACAGCAATTATTTGCGGATGAGTTAAAAGTTCAAAGTAGCCTAAAACATTTCACCTACCTTTCTGGTAGCTTGCAGAAAGTATTAATTTCCTATTTTAAAGCAGGC